AAAGTTTTTCATTTACATTGTTTGCAGGAAATTCTTTCCCCCCTTTCCCTGACCTCCAACCAGTTCTAGTTTTAGCACCAACAGCTGGGTGAGGGCTCCCACTGGTGGTAGCAACAGTGTGACATTTTAAAAAAGAAGACCTGGGCAGTCGCAACTCGCTGCTGAACTGGGCCAGGAGACAGTAGTCCAGGTGGCCACACCAGGCATCTTCTTTCAGGTGTGCAGAGTGCATGCCAGCTCCATGCAACATTTCCTGAAAGCACTGCAGGGCCTGTGGATGGTGCTTATCCCCCAGTGGCCAGCGTAACTCCCCAGAGCAGATGAATGACGTCAACAGTTTATAGTGTACACTTGTTCATAGTTTTGGTTTGCTGCTTTTTCTGCTTTGAAGGATTTTGTCCAGCACAAAGATCCATACATGTGTGGTGAGGGAAAGGGGCTACTCCACTTTCACAAAGGCCATGATGGAGTGTCAGGACCTACTGCTACAATCCCTAAGCACCAGGTGTTTACTCCAATGAGTACCACCAACATTGGGTGGCAGCACTGAAGGAAGGAAGGAGCTTGATTTTACCTTTCCTTCAATATTTTTAGATTTAATTATGTTGTATTTCCTCCTCTCTTGTTGTGTTAATGTTTTGTATTTATCACTTCCTCTCCCAGGTAATGTTGCTATGCACAGAGCGCCTCTCAGTTCAGAGCTGTGGGAATAGATTCATGGAGCCATGTGTGATTTGTACAGCACTGTGGGACCCTTCAGGGGGAAAGACACCATAGAAATGTAAGATCATTAGCGTTATAAAAATTGTGGCTGCTCTTTCTTGGATCAGAGACTTTCGATTTGTATTATGTTTCTATGTCAGAAAGGAAATATGAGCCAAAGGTGAGAAAAAAGTCTGTTCCCTGAGGTCAGATTCACATTCCATACATTAAATATTGTATATTTATTAGGACGCTGTTTTTCTTTTCCACTTTTAATGCCTCGTTTTTTTCTAGACTGCCCCTATTAGATTCTGCTTCACTTTCTAAAGTTTAACCTTTTGTTAATTGGAGATCGGGGATATATCAGGGACGTGCACAGGAATTTAAATTCGACCACTGGGGGTAGAGGGGCACATTAAAACCACACATATTGTACACAGTAAACTATATCAACACACACACATACATCATTTGCATAGAAATAAACAGCTGTACACTCACCATTTCAATGAAAATCCATGCGCCGTGGAGCCATCCAAATAAATGCATCCACAAGTACTTGGCTGCAGTGTGGGCACAGAACTCCTCTGCCGATTACTGGAGCATGCCCCTGCTTGTCCCCCTTTGGGCACACCCCTGGGGATATTACATTTTAAGTTTCCACAAGGTAATAAACATGAGCAAGATTCTTTTACACCAGAAACCCAGGTTCATGAGCAATCTCCTTTGGCTCCTTCAGTCACTGCAGAGACTAGGCCAGATTGTGAAAATGACACAGTTACTCTCCACAATGGCACTGTCCTTACAGGCCTGCTCTTCAGCTCCTTCTATCAGCAGATCAGTGGAAGACCTATAAGCAGGGCTTCAAAGAAAATGACAGATTGCATTTTCCTGGTCAAAAGGTAATTTGGGATGGTAGCTAACATGGGAGGAATGGGGAAGAAGGGAATGTGAGGAATCTAGAACATGTTGAACTTCTGATTTAAAGAGATGTCTCCCTTGCTCAAATAACTACACTATGAAAGGGTTCATTCAAAGAGGGGAAAAAATACACAAGAAAGCTAAATCCATTTCTGAATTCTCTGGGTCAGATCCTCAGGTGGTGTAATAAGCATAGCTCCATTGACTTCACACATCAGTTTACACTAGCTAAGGATCTGGCTAACTTTTTGTTGTACTTAATTTACCTTTTTTTAAAAAATAAGTAAAAATGTATGGTTTTATCTTCATGACAGATTAGGTTTCAATAATTGTAATGATTCCTCCTTTTTAGAATAGGTTTCAGCTTCATTCCATGATTAAAAAGTCTTCCATCAGGTACTTTCATTGCAGAATTACAGAAGTTGGTTAGCCAAATTCTGATGTCATTTACACCAGGGTTATTCCAGACTTTGTTTGAGCTACTCCAGAGTGACTCTATTGTAAATGACAAAAGAATGTGATTCAATATCCCTATGATCTGAGTCATACTGACATAACATGTACCTTTCTCCCCAGCACAATACCAAGTTTTTATATATTTGGTAATACTTTATATAAGCTGCCCCCTATTTTTAAAAATATATATATATTTATAATAAGAAAAATGTTCAAAGAGGGGGTTTTTTGCTAGAAAGAGAAAAGCACTCTACACCGTTCACACACATATTGGGACTGCTGTTTTAAAATCTCTGCACCAATCCTGTCCCTATAAAGGCAAAAATATGACTGACTCCAAAGTTGGATCTGGTCCTTTATTGCCAGATTATGATACCCTTAGGACTCACATTGAGGAGCAATTTAGAGTCTGATCCACTGAAGTCAATGGGGATCTTTCCTCTGATTTCAAGTGAGCTATGGATCAGGCTGTTACTCCACGAGTAGCCCCATTGCCTTCAGTTGGGCTATTGATGGCATAAACTACTATTCAATGGGAATCAGAGTATCATAATCTGGTCCTTAGTGTTTTTAGATGCATTCTTTCATAACTTGCATAAAATATCAGGGTTGGAAGGGACCTCAGGAGGTTATCTAGTCCATCCCCCTGCTCAAAGCAGGACCAATCCCCAACTAAACCATCCCAGCCAGGGCTTTGTCAAGCCTGACCTTAAAAACTTCTAAGGAAGGAGATTCCACCACCTCCCTAGGTAACGCATTCCAGTGCTTCACCACCCTCATACTGAAAAAGTTTTTCCTAATATCCAACCTAAACCTCCCCCACTACGACTTGAGACCATTACTCCTCGTTCTGTCATCTGCTACCACTGAGAACAGTCTAGAGCCATCCTCTTTGGAACCCCCTTTCAAGTAGTTGAAAACAGCTCTCAAATCCCCCCTCATTCTTCTCTTCCGCAGATTAAACAATCCCAGTTCCCTCAGCCTCTCCTCATAAGTCATGTGTTCCAGTCCCCTAATCATTTTTGTTGCCCTCCGCTGGACGTTTTTCAATTTTTCCACATCCTTCTTGTAGTGTGGGGCCCAAAACTGGACACAGTACTCCACATGAGGCCTCACCAATGTCGAATAGAGGGGAATGATCACGTCCCTTGATCTGCTGGCAATGCCCCTACTTATACATCCCAAAATGCCATTGGCCTTCTTGGCAACAACAGCACACTGTTGACTCATATCCAGCTTCTCGTCCACTGTAACCCCTAGGTCCTTTTCTGCAGAACTGCTGCCTAGCCATTCGGTCCCTAGTCTGTAGCAGTGCATGGGATTCTTCCATCCTAAATGCAGGATTCTGCACTTGTTCTTGTTGAACCTCATCAGATTTCTTTTGGCCCAATCCTCTAATTTGTCTAGGGCCCTCTGTATCCTATCCGTACCCTCCAGCATATCTACCTCTCCTCCCAGTTTAGTGGCATCTGCAAACTTGCTGAGGGTGCAATCCACACCATCCTCCAGATCATTAATGAAGATATTGAACAAAACCAGCCCCAGGACCGACCCTTGGGGCACTCCACTTGATACCGGCTGTCAACTAGACATTGAGCATGCCCTAAAACGTTTTAATGAAAATTTTTAAAGGATGATGCTGTAACAAGCTACCATAAAGCATGCTCAATAGAGATAATGTAGATGTAAAAGTTTAAACAGTGAGAGTAATTAACCATTGGAACAGCTTACCAAGGGTCATGGTGGATTCTCCATCACTGACAATTTTTAAATCAAGATTGGATGTTTCCTGCAAGATCTACTCTAGGAATTACTTTAGGGAAGTTCTATGGCTTGTGTTATATAAGAAGCCAGACTAGACAAGCACAATGGTCCCTTCTGGCCTTGGACTCTATGAATCTATGTTATTAAATAAAACAATGTATAATCTGTTATTTAAATTATTACAAACCATTAAGTGTCATACTTAATAAACACTAACCCCAGGCTGTTTAAATGGAACCCTGATGGACACTTAGCAAAAATCATTTTAAAATGCATAACATATGTAGAGAGTATTCACTGTTTTTTTTTCTGAAAAAAAGCTGGAGAGCTGCTTGTGCCAGACACTGACACTCTTCAAGTTTTCACAGTGCTGGGGTAGCTATACTTTAATAAGTATACTGTGTGCATACCCTTATCACAGTTAAATATGGGCCAGAAATGAAGGAGAAAAAAAACAACAACCTAATCCAACGTATTTAGGAATTCTAGGCTGCTGGTTATTAAAGTGCCCTTCGTTCACCTGCTACATCCAAATCAAAAGGCCATGATTGGCGTTTAGTCTTGTAAACTGGTATTGTGTGAGCAGTGGGCAGCTGGAGCCCTCTGAGAATCTTCACTTGTCAGAGATGAATCAATCATCTCGAAAGATGTCAGCATCTGCCCAAACCATTTTATATTAGAATAAATGGCAGATGGTGGTGTTTTTATATTTAATCAGTTCCACCAAATGCAGTTTCATCTCTTATAAAACTAAACCATCTGCAGCATGTAGGTGTATAAATCTAGCTAAATGCCCACTACAGAACCTTTCCTCTTAAAGGTAAATTGTACGTATGAACATTTATGGACGGTAAGTACAATAGATATCAAAAGCTTTAAAAAATACCTGCTGTTTTCTTATAAATATGTATATTACTAAAATATAAATATTTTATATGAGAGGTCTATGCTTAATACCTATTTTAGTTTCTTCTTATTTATGTAACTACTCAAATTTGATAGCATGAAAATACTTTCTGTGAAAGAGATCATTCCCCCTTTTCTGTACAACTTTATGGACTTGGTCCCAATTTTGTAAACACTGCACAGGAGTAGCATTACTCACATGCATAGACCTACAAAAATCAATAGGACAAAACACAAATAAAGTTACTCACATCCAGAACTGTCTGCAGGATCTGGCCCTTGAAATAGAAACTCTTCAGCATATCTTTACTTTGTCACGATTTCTCTGTGCAGCAGGTTGGGCACATTGGCTAAATGGCATTCAAAAAAAAAATTGGACACCCACAACACTAATATAAGATATCTTTTAACATACATTTGCGCAGCACCATCTGGGTGGGGTTCGACCAACTACAGGTTGGCGAGCTGATTTCAAATACAGACAGATGGAATTCTTTTTTTTAGTTTTTTCTTTTTTTCCTGTGTAGAGCAGACACACATCTTTGCACCAACTGCACTCATTGCACGTTTTTCCTTAACCAAGTAGCAGGCTATGTGAGTACATAGCAATCGGGGGAGTGAGTGGGAGCTACTTTAACATACTGAACTCTGCTCAGGCTTATGCTACTAATGCAGCCACCTCTAACGTCTAAAAGTTCCCTCTCTCCCATGAAACATCTATTTTGAGTTGCAAAAAGACAAAATTACTAGTTCACAGCAAATTACTAAATGTATATCTAGTTATTCTGTATTTCTACAGCCTTGGAAGCTGACCTAAAAAACAAAAACCTGCCGTAGATTTGAAAAAAACCCAAAACTCTGCTATGTTATAAACCTGAAGTGTTATAAGAGTGATTAAGATTTTCCTTGCAGTGGTGACAAATATAGCATAAGGCTTGTGTGTGCTGTTAAACAGCTGTTGCATTTCTCCCCAGCAGCGGCTGCATTTCTGTGATTGATTAAGGAACACTGCAGACAGACAGAATAAAAGCAGATAGACAAAAGTACTTAATGAATCTTCAGGTTGAAGGGTGCCCATAAAAATAAAACGATTTAAGTGAATTTCAGTATTGTTTAAAGGCTCCAGATGGACAACTTTAGAAACTGTAGGCACAAAACAGGTACAGGACAGACAGCAGCAGTGCAATAATCTTAATAATGTGCCTGAGGTCTGACCTGGAGGGGACACTTCTAAAGATGAGAGGCTGCACGCGCCTATGCAATGCTTGGCCTCCCAGTTAAAAGTGTATTTTTTGTGATGTGAACACTTGTTCTTCAGCAATTTGGCTGAGACCATTAATAAATAAATGTATCTTCACAAAAAAATTAATAAGTAGAAAATAATGTTATGCATGGCATGCATGCGCTGACAGAAGAGTGCACTTTAAGGATTGGGCAATTTGGGTCATTCCAGTTCCGCTGCTAACAAAAGAGATCTAAATGTACAGACCCAAACCAGAGCTTACTCTCAGTTAGCATAGCTTGCAGTGCCTAGCCTACAGTATCTAACCCCATTCCTATGGTTCTGGAGTCCAAGCATAGAATTTAGGAACCCGGTCTAAAATAACTACAAAAAACATAAATAAATAGACCAGGACCTGATGCAAATCCCTGGCTCTGAGCCCCAAATGTTGATAAGTTCAGAGCCAGTTCTGAACTTCACAGCCAGTCTCTTTTAATAATGAGCCAAACCAAAATGTTGGCTTTTGAGACCCTGAGCTTCGTGGAACTTCCAATTCTGATCCAAACTTTAGGCCCCAGTTGTGGCCTACCCCATTGCTAACAGTGGGACTGGTGCAAAGCCTAGCCCCTTGTCAGGGTTCCCTCCCCACTCTGAACTCTAGGGTACAGACATGGGGACCCGCAAGAAAGACCCCCTAAGCTTATTTCTACCAACTTCGGTTAAAACTTCCCCAGGCACAAATTCTTTGTCCTTGGAGGGTATGCTGCCACCACCAAGTGATTTAACAAAGAATCAGGGAGAGAACCACTTGGAGTTCCTATTCTCCCAAAATATCCCCCCAAGCCCTTACACCCCCTTTCCTGGGGAGGCTTGAGAATAAACAAGATGAGCACAGACCAACCTTGGGGTTTTTTAGGACACTAAAAAAACCCCAATCAGATTCTAAAAGAAACAGAACTTTATTATAAAGAAAAAAGGTAAAAGAAGCACCTCTGTAAAATCAGAATGGACGATCATCTTACAGGACAATCAGATTCAAAAACACAGAGGATTTCTCTCTGGGCCAAACTTTAAAGTTACAAAAAGAAAACCAGGAATACACCTTCCGCTCAGCACAGAGAAAATCACAAGCCAAAACAAAATAAGTTAACGCATTCCCTTGCTAGTACTTACTAATTCTAATGGAGTTGGATTGCTTGCTTCCTTGACCTGTGTATGGCAAGCACACAGAAAAGACAGACCAAAACCTTTCCCCCCACCCCAGATTTGAAAGTATCTTGTCCCCTTTTGGTCCTGGTGCCAGCCAGGTTACCTGAGCTTCTTAACCCTTTACAGGTAAAAGGATTTTGTGCCTCTGGCCAGGAGGGATTTTATAGTACTCTATGCAGGAAGGTTGTTACCCTTCCCTTTATATTTATGACACCCCTGGTCTGTAGACACCCCACAACAAAGTGGATGGCAGGGGATGAGAGGATTCCTGTCTCTGGCTCATCCTCCTACCTGCTGGCCAAAGTACCTGCCCCATAAAATTTTGACGGCGGAAGTAACTACTCCTTGTCAAGGGCTGGCAACTCTCTTTCTCTCCCATTTGAAACAAGACGGGAGCAGAAGAAGAGTCAATTCCCTTGAGGAACTTCTTTGGGACAGTGCAGTTATTCATCACCCTTTACTCAGGGCTGAGCCTAAAGGCTTCATCTAGCCATTGTGATTGAGCACCAACCGATTGAGCAAGCTAGTTGCAGATGCCGTTACTTAAGCTAAGGAAATCGGCTGCCCCATCTAGGTTAACAAAGTGGTTTCAGTTTACAGTGGTTCATGGAAAGCTTGTCTCCAGTTTCAACCCAAGGTTGTTCACAAACCATCAAGCCGAGTTTCAGTTTGAGTTTCAGGATCAAACAAGGCCCCAGACTCAAACAGTAACTCAGCTGAAACTGCTGAGTTTCCCCTGATAGCAACACAAAAGCGAAAACTGACCCAAGCTCACATTTTTAGCAGACTGGAGTTATAACCAGAGGCAACCGAGTAGTAACCAGAGGCAACTTGGTAGATTCCACTGAGTCACCGTTCACGTTTTGGGTCTTGTGTTCGCTCCTGCACTAGCCCTTTTTAAAAAACAAAAAAAACCCTCCATTTTAGATAACTCTGTATTGTATCATACTTGCATAATGGCTATACGTGGGACTGTGATGGGATGTTCACCCCACACCGCTCCTGAAGTGATTAAGGTGGCTCAGGAGGGGCTAATTAACCTAGTAGGCTGCACCTGTGGGGATACGTAGGCTTGACTGACAAGCCCTAACTGAAGATGAAGCCCATTTGGGCTGGAGCAGGCAGGGGCTTGTAAAGCCAGGAAAAGAGAGCAGATGGGTGCTGCAGTAATTCACTGGGCCTAGTGAGAAAAGGAGGAAATCCAGGGGGGAGCAGAAGCCCTGGGATCCTGACCCTGGGGGAAAGGGTTTACGCAGAGGGGTAGTGGAGAAGGAAGCTTGCAGAGTGTGGAGTAGAAAGAAGCCCAGGGAAATGGCAGCAAGGATTGAGATGGTGCAGACCTTGGCTGCTAATTGTAAGGTCTCTGGACTGGAACTCAGAGTAGTGTGTGGGCCCAGGTTTCCTACCGACTATTGGGAAAGTGGCACAGGCTTGAATTGGAAGACTGTCTCAAAAGGCACATGGACAGCTGGTCTGCTGAGACTCTGTTATTCCAGAAAGGGAAAACTACATAGTGACCTGATTGGAGGGCCAAGCCACGAAGAGGAAGCACTGCAATCCCTAAAGAGCATGAGAGACTGTGTTATGAGCAACTAAAAGAAGGGGGCATCAGACCCGGCAGAGCTAATCCCCAGATGCAGTCACCAGAGGGTGCCCCACCAGTGGGTGTATCCCATGACAGGAACATTATCACCTAAGAACAAATAATCATTTACATGGTTTATAAAAAGTCTCTGCTTAGAGAATCAAAACAAATAGTTACCCAGAATTGTCACCCAGTTTACATTTTTCTTCCAGAATCAAACAAGTGCTTCTGCAACTATTGCAATATGTGTCTGCTTTTGCTACCTGGAAGGAATTGCTGAAATTATTTTTTACTGTGAATGGTGCTTTTTAGTATCTGATCTAGCTACTGCCCCCAGAGCTTTCAGAATCAGATATTTAAATTCCTCTGTTTTGGTTTTCAGGGGGCTTCAGCAGCTTGCAAAATATGGTCGTTGTTATTAAAAAACACTTTCTGTATATAGCACTGTAAATTTATGTGGGACTTTAAATCCCAAACGACATGTTCTCTAACCCTAAAAATGCTATAATTAAAGGTGGGCCAGTAACGGATTTCTTATTTTGCTGGTGATTCTGGAAAAACAGAAAATATGTTTGGGGTAAACCCAAAACCAATGTCTTTCACAATTTTCAACAAATGAAAAAGTAAAATTCATTTTTATGTGAAACTAAACATTTTGTTTTCATTTCAGTCATTTTTAAATAAAAGTGAAGGAAATTTCTAAACCAAAAGTCATTTTAAAAATGTCAAAACAAAACACTGATTTTTTTGCAGAAATGTTCTTTGGTGTGTTGTGGGGTTTTTTTTCAACCAAAACAATTTGATGAAATGGATATGAATTCACACAATTCTTTGGTGCTCCAAATCTGCATTTCTGTCCAAAAACTGGTGTAAAAAATTTCATTCAGCTCTACTTCTAATACAAGATATCAAAGACAAGGCAGAGAACAAAAGTTCAGAAAAGCAAAGGTATGCACAGAATTATTGGTGTGAAAATGTAGAAGAGATTCCTGGATGGAGACTGATCGATACATAGAGGTAGCATGGCAAAAGGCACAAATTTGAAAGTGGAGAAGGACACAAAGGGGGGAAAGTAGGGCAGCAAGATGAGAAGTAGGTTTGGTCAAGTTTGAAGGTGAGGCCAGAAAGCATTAGTTTGAGGCAGAAAAAAGGGAGCCATTAAACTGAGGAAAAGCAAAACTACTACTAGATCACTTCATCAACCAGCCTGACAAATAGCTATACAATTCACAGCTTATATTGCAGGCTAACAAATTCCTAACTGTACCAACTATGCAAAACATTTAAAATACGCATCAACTGAGAATTCTGTTTTGTTTATGGAACAGTGCAATGTGGCAGGAGAGGTCTCATCTTCTGTCGTTGCCTTTGTATGACATTCAGTGCGCTAGTTTAAAATGTAGTGTGCTTTATGAAGCCATGTGAGGGACCCAGATGCAAAAATAACCTCTGAGTTCTGCTCTGCAGGCTAATGGAGACCAGGTGCATTGTGGTCATGAACAACTTTGCCACTGGGGAG